TGGACCCGGTCTTGTGACGTGTCCCACGTGCTGTCCTTTTTACAAGAGCTACTGGATAACGGGCGCGCCCCTTCCATGCTCAAAGTTTATGTGGCAGCTATCGCAGCGAATCATTCCCACGAAGCTGGCCAGTCAGTCGGCAGAAACGACTTGGTCGTTAAGTTCTTGAAGGACACCCAGAGATTGTATCCTGCTCGCCCTCAGACCGTGCTGACCTGGGACTTATCCATAGTCCTGAGCCTTTCGAGCCGCTCCATTTGGTCGACTTGTGGCCCATGTCGCTTATGACCGCCCTCCTTTTGGCATTAGCGTCGGTCAAGCGAGTGGGTGACTTACAGGCACTGTAAGTCAGTGCTTCCTGTCTGGAGTTTGGGCCTAATGACTGTAAGTTCGTCCTCAAGCCAAGACACAGTTATGTACCTAAGGTGCTCTCAACTCTTTTCAGAGCCCAGATTATTATCCTTCTAGCGCTCCCCGCTGCAGACGGCGAGCAGGGTCTCAATCCATTCTGCCCAGTGAGGGCCCTTAGAGCGTACATTGAGCGCTCTGGTCTTTTCAGACAGTCAGAGCAGCTGTTTGTCTGCTTCGGAGGCCGCTGTAAAGGGCTGCCGGTTACGAAGCAAAGACTTTCCCGCTGGATAGTAGATGCTATAGCCTTGGCTTATGCCTCAGAAGGCTTGCAATGCCCCATAGGGGTGAGGGCCCACTCCACCAGAGGAATGGCCTCCTCCTGGGTGTGGTCCAGTGGAATTTCTATAAGTGAGATTTGTGCGGCTACCGGCTGGTCGTCGCCGTCCACTTTTGCCAGATTCTACAATTTAGACGTCCCTACCTTGCAGGCACGGATTTTGTCTATTTAGTTTGCTTATTTCCCCCCAAGGGCAGAAATAGTTATATCTGTAGTCCTCAGCAGTGCTTGGGACTCAGTTTGGCTCATGTTCTTTGGAGTCCTTAATTAAGTGCTCCTAAACTGGGCTCGCAGAGCAGGTAGTTCTATATCTGCTCGTAGCACGGCATGATTGGATGCGTTCCCCATATACAACGTGAGAGGACATTTGAAAAGGAACGCTCCGGTTATTGACCGAATCGATGACTGTCGCTTCAGTCTAATGATTCAGTCTAATGATTCTGATGAAATGGCGCTCTGAGCCGACTTATATGGGTGGTCGGCTCCGCCCATTCTGGTGGGCTAGAGCGCCATTGGTTTGTGCAGCTACACAAAAGTGAACAAATCAGGCTTTAGTATCAGTGTAAACAGGAGTTTCCCCATACACAATGCTCGTTCCCTTATCTCAGGGAACCGAGGTTACATTAGAAACTGGAGCGTTTTTATTAGTTGAACTTTCCAACGTTTGCAAATGACGTAGGAAAACACAGCGTCATTGTCATCATCGCGACGCGATTATATCCCAGATGTTCTGTAGCTTTAGCAATGCAGCATGTAATGCCACTCTATGAGGATTATCTCGAGATCTATGTCATGTTATGTTGTGTTTGGTCTCGATTTAATCGAGAACACCTGCTCTAAACAAATATATGTGATCTACTATGGTTTACTAATGTTTGGTGAAGCTACAAACCAAAAAGCGGTCCAAAAGCCGCATGTGTATGCAGTTTTTATGTAGCTACTTGGTATTGTTTGGTCTCTGCCTGAAGTAATTATGTTTGTTGTATTCTGCTAGTTGAGACCTTTTCAACAGTATATGACACATTAGGCTATCTGTTAGGCATGATCCTTAACAGATCACATTTTCAAGTAGTCACATTTTTTATTTCTCTTATAGACAAAACTACCTGAAAAATTTCATTAGCTGTCGAAATTTGGATCCCTTTTTTATCTGATGTATTGTAAATTGATGTACTCTAGTTTGAGAGTCCACCCTATTTCATCAAGTTCCACTCACTGTAAAATTTCTGGCCTTGCTGCTGATTTGTATGGTATAGCTCAAAATTGACAGTTCTGCTTCCCCTTTATGGTGTAATATTATGCATATAATAAATAAATAGATGTAAATGTCTTCAGCCGCACTTCTGGGTAGATTTGATAACAACAACACATGATAATAAGCATGATAATTAAAAATATATATTTTTTTAATTAACAGCTAACCTCTCTGTGGACCCCTGCAACAACTACACTGTGCTGGACGAACCAAGGAGATCCATCAATAATACAAATTTCTTACAATCAACACCTTCCTACAATTGTGACACCTCTGTCACCTGGAGCGGCTGGTATCGTCTCTTCATTAATGGTCTGAACGCTCATATGCCAGAGACGTGTGTTGCATTAGGTCACTGTGACACTGCTACCACACTGTGGATTCGTGGTGGACACCCAACAGTTGAGGATGGAGTCGTCACTCGAGATGTCTGCGGTCACTGGCACAATTACTGCTGCTTTTTCTGGTCTTTTCCCATTAAAGTCAAAGCCTGTCCAGGCAATTATTATGTCTATGAGCTGATTAGTCCAGCTGTGTACTGTTCAGGATACTGTGCAGGTAATAATACATGATATATTACATGAGCTCTTTCTACACATTCATGATATTTGTGTTTCTGTACATTAATCACTATTCATCCAAACATTCAGATGTTGGCAGCATTAACACCAGCTCTACAACCGTCACACCAGCGATCGTCTCAACTGGTAATGTAACACACTGTGTCTCTATTGGCTTATTTTTTGGCTCGATGAATGTACATTTCCCCAGTAGTGCACAACACAATGAAAATTACAAAAACAAATATAAGTTATAACACCAAGGACCTAAGCCACAACACAGCAAAAATTTTAAGCTAATGGTGTAATGAAATCCAAAGTTTGAACATTTTACTGTACTTTTTATAAAATAAAACCTTTAACTGCATTTATTGCTTTTGAAACTAGCCAAGTCATTCATTGGTATATGCTAATTTAAAAAGACTGATGCGGTCAAATCATACCATTACCTCAAGTATGAAGCCCAGATGTTAGCTTCAATGTGTCCTTTACTTGACCAAGAAATGGCACCGTGTGATGGTTTGGCGGATACAATAATAATAATAATATGTGCAAAGTTTAGCAAGAAAACACAGCAACGAACTAAAACATAATGTCATAATGTATTTAAATTTTTTGCTGAAGTCCTTTTTTATTTAATAGTCCACTGCACAGACAAAACTGATGACTCTTCATGGACTCACAGATGCATGAGCCTGATGATCATCAGCGATCTGTGCATGTTAAGATAAATAGGGAGACTATAAAATGATAAATGTGTTGTCTGCCGTCATCTACAACTGTAACCAGTGTTGGGTGTAATGTGTTACAAGTAGTAATGTGCATTACATACTGTAATCAGATTACTTTTTGATGTAACAAGCAAAGTAACACATTATTTAGTTAATAAATTATCATACATAGAGAATTTAATATTTAATTTGCATGATAATTTTTACTTGTTTGCTTAATTTGAGCCCTGATTGTAACACACAGAGGAATCAGCTAAGCAAGGTGTTCAGGATTGCTTGAAAATGACCTTTAAATGTGTGTTGAAGCTGGTTGGAAATTAATTTTGCAGGACAGTGGGTCTCCTGGAGCAGGGTTAAAGACCTCCGTTGTAATGCATTACTTTTAAAAGTAACTTTCCCCAACACTGTCTATAACCTGTAGTTTGTCATTTTAAAGTCGTGTTTGATGCCATGAGATTCTTTAGGTCTGTGTACTCGTGATACTCTTGTAACACAAAGTCGATAGTTGTTTAAATAAATATTTTAAATAAAACAAACTCTGTGGAAGAATTCATTTTAAAGAAAAAGTATTTCTTAATACTTACAGTAACATTTCTAAGCAACAGAATTTTTATTCATATTTTCTTTACAGTTTATACCTCTGTTGACCCCTGCTACAACTACAGTGTACTGGACGATCCATGGAGAGCCACCAATAACACAAATGCTTCAGTCAGAGAGTGTGACACCTCTGTCACCTGGAGCGGCTGGTATCGTCTCTTCATTAACGGTCTGAGCGCTCAGATCCCAGACACCTGTGTTGAAAAAACTGGCTGTGGCACTGATATCCCACTGTGGATTCGTGGTGGACACCCAACAGTAAAGGATGGAGTCGTCACTCGAGATGTCTGCGGTCACTGGCACAATTACTGCTGCTATCACGGGTCTTACCCCATTAAAGTCAAAGCCTGTCCAGGCAATTATTATGTCTATGAGCTGGTTAGACCAACTTACTGTAATTTTGCATACTGTGCAGGTAATTATATTTGCATGAGCCTTTTTATTGTTTATTGATTAATTTATTGATATTAATCAGTAATTATTTTTTCAGCTGTTACTAACATCAGCAGCACCGATACAACAGTCACACCAGAGACGAGCTCAGCTGGTAATGTAGTCTGATGTTTCCTCTGTTGGATTGTGTTTTGGCTGAATGTTTGTGCATCTGTTAAACAGATGTGTGAGCGTGTTTGTGTCTCTACATAAATACAAGGAATAAAAGAGTGTGAAATGTGCCGTTGCAGATCATTGTAGACATTTTTTAATCTTGAACATCTGTGCGCAATCAGGAGAAATCATCTTATTAATTACTATTTATCCAAACCTTTCAGATGTTGGCAGCATTAACACCAGCTCTACAGCCATAACATCCGCGACCATCTCAACTGGTAATGTAACACACTGTCTTCTAAAGTCCATGTGATGAATTCATACAAGTTTTAATTAAGGATTTATGTGAAAGGAATAATTCATAATGAATTTCTTTTAAATTATTTACTCACCCTGGTGTTGTCATAAAGCTGTATGACCTTCAGAGGTGTAAACTGTACACCTTTTTTTACTGTACATATGTTTTCTGCTGTTTTTGTTTCAGTTCCTGTACAGACAGTCCCTTCCACATCATCTACCAGTCCCACAACAACAGGTGACCATGTTTCTGAACTGAATGTGGCTTTTAAAATAATAACAACACATGTTAAGAAACGTTAATTTCTTAAAATACTTTCATGACAGCTAATCTGTCTGATCCCTGTTACAACTACACTATACTGGATGAACCATGGAGAGCCACCAATAACACAAATGCTACAGTCACAAAGTGTGACACCTCTGTCACCTGGAGCGGCTGGTATCGTCTCTTCATTAACGGTTTGAGCGCTCAGATCCCAGACACCTGTGTTGTGAGGTATAGCTGTGGCACTCATATCCCACTGAGGATCCATGGTGGACATCCATCACTGCAGGATGGAGTCGTCACTCGAGATGTCTGCGGTCACTGGGACAATTACTGCTGCTATTTCTGGTCTTTTCCCATTAAAGTCAAAGCCTGTCCAGGCAATTATTATGTCTATGAGTTGGTTAGACCAACTAGATGTGATTCAGCATATTGTGCAGGTAATTATGTTTACATGAGCTCTTTCTACACATTCATTATTTTTGATAGTCTGTTCATTAATCAATATTCATCCAAACTTTCAGATGTTGGCAGCATTCACACCAGCTCTACAACTGTCACACCAGTGACCATCTCAACTGGTAATGCCACACACTATGTCTCTATTGGCTTATTTTGGCAACTGAGGGGGGACTAGTCCATTTGCTGTTCAGGGGGCCAGAAACCATAGCTAACTATTTTCTCTTGTAAACCACCATCTCTGATTGCACATAAACACCATGTGAAATAAATTCATTTTAAAATAAGTGAATGAATGTGGTGTGCAAATACTGACATCCACTAAGTGGCTGTGTTTTATTAGTACTTGTAAGGACCACCTGCCACTGGCCCAACAAAGGAATCCAATGACATGTAATGCGTGTAGGTCTTTTACGAGGAACTCTGGATTAGTGAACACTGTTATTCGGCCTTCATATCGACAACAACAGAGTGTCTTTAAAAAACCTTCTCATGTGCCACGGATTTGAATCTCATGTTGGCAGTTAACAAATGAGCCCAATCCTCTGTCACTAATTTGAAAACATCACTTTAGAGCTACTAACGAAGGAACTCTGAGTTGCTTCATTGAAGTTAAAAGCTTATTGCATTATGTAGAGTATTATGAGAGAGAGATGGACTGAGCATGTGTGATTACTCGGATCATATACAGGATTCATTCTTCAGCTCAATCTCATATTCACAATAAAACATTAGTTGTTTAAAGTAAAAAATAATGTCCTTGTTTACAACTAGTGATGGATTGTTCTTGAATGATTCGTTCATTGAATGAGTTGATCAGAGAATGATTCGTTCTTTTCATTTTGACCTATAGGTTCTGTACAGGAAATAGAAATAATTAGTTCCTCTTCCAAGTCTTTAGGTTCGAGTCGTCCGTTCATCACGTGACAGCCCCATAGGCTACGGCTATGCAGTCTGTACCAGAAACAGAAATGATTAGTTCACCTCCCGAGTCTATGGGTCCGAGTCGTTCATTCTGTTGTCAAGTGGTGTCACAGCAGTATTGGATACAGAAATCAGTTAACAATTTCCAAATAGTTAGTTTTTTCCCCCGTCTTACAGTTACGTGATGTGTTTCTGGTCTCAAATTGTAGCTTTTTTTATTTCTTACATTTTATACATTTGTGAATTTCTGTCATGATGGTTCTTTTCCAGAAAATTGAATGCGGTAATGAAGAGTTGGTTTATGCTTTAAACTTTTTTCGAATGATGGGAAAAATCATCTTTTTGCACTGAGCGGGCGTTTTTTCTCAGCGCCGAGAGTTGTAGGATGTTCAACGATGGTCGTATCGATCCTAAAGTATCGATATATCGATACTGATGCAAGTATCGAAAATATCAATACTCAAATAAAAATACTACTGTGTGTGTTTTTTTTTAGCAGTAATTTTGTTTATTTAACAAAAAATTTAATGCGTACGATATGTATTGAATTGGACGAATATCCTATGTTAGCGAATAATTGTGTAGGATAGAACTATTTTCTTGCTCATCTGAACACACGCAAATGCTTTAAGACAGAACTAATCAATCACAGAGAACATTCCCTCAATTCTGAAAGTGCATTCAAACAGGGCTGAGCTTCCCAAAAGTGTCATTAGAAACCATTGATGCTTTTGGGGAATGGCAGAACAATGCTTATCAGAGGACAGAAAATTGAAATTGTAACCTAGTTTGTGCAATTACATTTATTTAAATCGAACATTAAAAGTTCATATTGATCATGTTCTATATTCTGTAATGTTAATATAAAAAGGTTGCATTTTATGCGTGCAACAGCCTGTCACTGGCAGTCCCTTATGAAAATGAACCATGGTTTTACTAAAGTGACTGTAGTTCAACTATAGTATTTGTAGATTTCCGTGGTTCTTTCCGACACATTCGACATACTGAGAACCGTTTCTTTCGGACACGTTCGACATACTGAGAAGTGAGAACCAATGAGCTGGAGATACTGAGCATGCATGAATGAGGGGGTGAATTTGACGAAATTAAGTTTATTTAAAGCTGCAGTCCGTAACTTTTTTTGGTTAAAAATGATCCGAAATCAATATTTGAGCAAGTACATCACCAGCCAGTGTTAAAAACTATCGCCTTACTTTAGCCCGATTCACAACGGTTAGCTTATAATAATGTTTTCTAATTTGAGTGGTACGGGTAGTTTTTTGCGGGAAATTCGAGCATGGCACTGCGTCATTACGTCACTTCTGTAAACATAAAGAAGTTGTCCCGGCTACTAGGCTATGTGAGGATCCTGCAGGTGGCCGATCATTTATAGCCTTTTCTCACAGCAGCTGGAATAATTAAATTTATCATTTTGATGGTGGATTGTAATCCAGAAAGGACTATGTGATATGAAACATGTGAATGAAATTAAATTATATTCCAGTTTTAAATGTGCATCTGATTACAGATAGGACTACACAAGATTTGTGTTTTAAAGAGAACCAAGGAAGAATAATTTGCTTTTAGGATTAAAAGAACACTTTCTTTATAAGAAATTCGAATGGTATGATAAGATTAGACTATACTATACAGAAATTGTCTAATACTAATAATAATTGTCTAAAAGTCTAATACAGACTACATAGCCTACATGTAGTCACGCAATGCTGATGTTGTTAACATTAACAATTTGAGAACAAAGTATAACAATAATAATAATTTGCACGGTTTGACGTGATATGAGCTAACTGATCGTTAGATTTTATCACCATTGGTAGCACGATTTTTTGTAATACGTTTTTCCTCAGTTGTTCAGAACAAATGTGGCAGACTTGTTACTTACTTGTTCAGATGACAATATTCAGTGAAAATTCTTATTTGATTCATCTACTCCAAGACGTAGGCTAGAATCTGTGATTCCTAAGTACAGTATCCACACTGGTGCAGTGACTGACAGCCACACATACTCCTCAAAACATTAGATTCATCCGCACTGGAGCCGTGCCGACGCACTACACACGTAATTAAAATAATTCCGCAATAAACTGCAATTGCAGGTTTTCAAACAGAGATGGTGACAAAGAGGCAAAACTTATGGACTGCAGCTTTAATAACAGATAAAACTTACTGGAAAGTGCAAATGCAACTTGTTATATGAAACAACATTTTAACATGATGAACATGCAACAACTGTTCAGTCAAAACATGTAAATGAATTTAACTATTTACTATTGTGTATGCACGTTATATTTTAAGCATTATGAGCTGGATTTCTGTACGATTAAGGTTCTGTTACGGTTTCTGTAAAAACTTGATGAAGACTTCACTTACTTTATTTTCATATCTGACATCCACATTTACACATCAGTGCCAGTATTGGGTGCTTTTGCAAAATGTAAATGTAAGAAACTTATCCAAGATGATGATGACGATGGTTATTAATATTTATTTTAAGTTATGGTTACAGATTACTTTATTTGAATGTGTTTGAATGTATTTTCATTTGCCCGGATGATAGAATTGATGTCATTGCGTAATGACGTAAAAAAACCGGTGAACCGTATTTTTTTAACCAGTTAATTGAAACGAACTGTCCAAAAGAACCGGTTCGCTGGAAAATAAACCGGACTTCCCATCACTACCGCTTTGGCCCAAGGTATTTTGGGGGCCGAAAATCCCTGGCCATTGACCCTGAGGAAGCCACGACGAGGCACGACCAAGCCCCGGAAGTGACAGTGGAAATGCGTCTGGCCCTAGCTGGCACGCACTAGTACGCCCGCTTTTGGCCTGACAGTGGAAACGTAGCAAATGGCTTATTTTAGTGTTGCTAATAGTGCATCACAGTGTTAAACATGCCACACAGGTGGCACTAGGAGTATAACTGAATATTGACCTTTAGATGTGTTCAGGCCGGGACTCTTAGCAAATATGTAAAGTTTGTGGCAGATCGGACACTGCATGTTTAAGTTAGTCTAAAACTAGATATTTCCTGTTGCCAGCAGGTGGCGCTATAACTGTAACTGAATATTGCCTTGTAGATGTATTCAGGGCAGGACTCTTATCAAACTTGTTAAGTTTGGTGCAGATTGGACATTGTATGCATGAGTTACTACAACTTCCTGTTTCATGGCTTTAGCACTTAGTAAGTTGCTAGCATGTTTAGCACACAATGGCATATTTTACTAAGTTGCTAATAATGCATGCACAGTGCACAGTGTTAAACATGTTACTTATTGTTGCCAGTAGGTGGCGTTATGACTATAACCGAATATGGGCATGCAGATGCCTTCAGGCCAGGAATCTTATCAAACATGTGAAGTTTGCGGCAGATTGGACATTGTATGCATTAGTTACAAGAACTTCCTGTTTCATGGCATTAATCTTCTGGAATTTGCTGCTGGCTCTGATGTCTCTATAGTGGTTAAACATGAGATATAATTCGTTTTGGGTAAATCTCACGGGAGGTCTTTGGTCTCATTAATCTATTATTTGTTCCAGAGCCAATAGTTTTGGCTGAGGGCAAAATCTCATCACGTTATATTTTATATAACTTTAATGCTGTAGGCTATCAGAGTGCTGCCTTTGTACTTTTGACTGAATTGTCTAGCAACTTTTATGATGGCTGTTGTTGTTTATTAAAAATTATTATTCAATAAATAATATTTTATATAAATAATAGAAGTATTTAATAATAGTATTTAGTATTGGGAAACGGTATGTGTGTTCGTGATGGTGATTTTGGTTACATTGTTCCACCATTATGGCGACAAGAGACTGTTTTCTGAGTGAGTCCGCAGTAAAGACTTTTATATTGATAGAGACTGAAACAGGGTTATAAACAAAGAAGTTACTTTTACTTTAAACAACAGCTTGTAAGACGCAGCCAACAAATGCAGTGAGCAGCAGGTGTTGTTACAATTGCCAGCTGGAGTGCTCACAAGCTCCACTAGAGGGCACTACATAATGTACCTTTGCCATTCACCCCAGACTCCATTTCCCATAATCCTTTGCCGGACTCAGCACCCATTGCAATCACCTGTATCTCATCACCTCATCAGTCTCACACCATATAAGATGCACACACACTCACATCACTGATCATTGTATAGCCTGTAGCGTTCCCAAGTTCCTGTGTTTCCCAGTTTCCCTGTTTCCTTGTCTTCGTGGTTTTTCATCCCTGGACTGTTTCTTTGTTTTCTGATTGTTTGCTGCCTGCCCTGACCTTCGCCTGTTTATTGGATTACTCTTTTGTCTCATCCTGGATTGTACCTGTTTGCTGTTGTTTGACCCTGCCTGTTTTGACCACTCTTCTGAATAAAGCCTGCATTTGGATCCAACTCCGTCGTCACGCCTCCCAACGTTACAGAATAATCAGCCACACCCGGATCCAGCAGCTTTATCGTGCGTCCCAGGCTTATCATGGACCCAGCACTCAGGTTAGTTCACCTCCATCAGGGAATGCATTCCCTCGAGGACCATATTCAAGATTTTCTGGACATGGCCTACCTCTCTGATCTCACGGACTTCATGTTGATTGACTTTTTCTGTTATGGACTAAATGAACCATTAAAAACCATACTCCCCCGTGATGTTCGTTGAGGGTTGCTGTGTCAGTTTTTGGATTATGCCCTGTTGCTAACCGGTTCCCCGTTCACTGTGGGAGAGGCGGAGGATGTTAAGACCCCTAAGAGTTTTTTGGGGGGAGGCCAGCGTCAGCGGAGCTTGGTTCACTGAGTTCACCGCCAAGTCCAGTGATTATGGTCGCCACTCCTGTGCTCTCAGCACTCCCAAGTCCAGTGATTATGGTCGCCACTCCTGTGCTCTCAGCACTCCCAAGTCCAGTGGCTGTTACACCAGAACCTCTTCACAAGATGGCCACCAGCCCAGAGACTTTGCACAAGATGGCCGTCAAACCAGAGTCTCCACAAGATGGCCGCCGTTCCAGAATCTCATCATGTTATGGCTGCCGTTCCAGAGTCTCATCCCGTCATGGCCGCCGTTCCAGAGTCTCTTCACTTCATGTCAACCATGTCCAGTGCCTCAAGGTCAGTCCCAAGGCGTCCGAGACTGCCATCCAGTGTGGAGGATCCACCACTGGTTTCGGCCAGAGCAGTGGGCATCCCAAGGGCCTCAGCACTGGTCCTCACAGAGACTGTTCCCCTGGGCTCAGTGCTCCCTGTAATGGCGGTCGCCATCCTTTGTGTTTGGACCACTCACTGCTCTGGGCTATGCTATGATTGCCAGCTGGAGTGCCCACAAGCTCCACTAGATGGCTCTTCATCCTGTACCTTTGCCATTCACCCCGAACTCCATTTCCCATAATCCTTTGCACGGACTCAGCACCCATTGCAATCACCTGTATCTCATCACCTCATCAGTCTCACACCATATAAGATGCACACACACACACTCACATCGCTGATTATTGTATATCCTGTACATTCCCAAGTTCTCGTGTTTCCCAGTTTCTCTGTTTCCTTGTCTTCGTGGTTTTTGATCCCTGGACTGTTTCCTTGTTTTCTGATTGTTTGCTGCCTGCCTTGACCGTCGCCTGTTTATTGGATTACTCTTTTGTCTTATCCTGGATTGTACCTGTTTGCTGTTGTTTGACCCTGCCTGTTTTGACCACTCTTCTGAATAAAGCCCGCATTTGGATTCAACTCCATCGTCACGCCTCCCTACATTACAGCTGTCATCGGAAATCACCCTTAACAGATGAACGGATAGTACGACAAAGATATCGTTCCACAGCGCACATTCAAACTAATGTTATATTGTGAATATGAGATTGAGCTGAAGAATGAATGCTGTATCAGATGCAGGTAATCACACTCGCTCAGTCCATCTCTCATAATACTCTACATAATACACTGCTTTTAATACAGCAATACAATAAGCTTTTAATTAAGCAACTCAATGTTTCTTCATTACTAGCTCTAAAGTGACGTTTTTGAATTAGTAACAGTGGCTTGAGCTCAGCTGTTAAACTGAGATTTGAATCTGTGGCGGAAGGAAGTAGTTCCTTACAAAAGACAGTTTTTAAAGACACTTCGTTGTTGTTTCTTATGTATTTACACACTCATCGAACTGTTGCATAAACTGTTGTATAAACTATATATCTTTCTCTTATCATTCTTTCTTTCTTTTTTAGTTTATCCATCTGTTGACCCCTGTTACAACTACACTATACTGGATGAACCATGGAGAGCCACCAATAACACAAATGCTACAGTCACAAAGTGTGACACCTCTGTCACCTGGAGCGGCTGGTATCGTCTCTTCATTAACGGTCTGAGCGCTCAGATCCCAGACACCTGTGTTGTGAGGTATAGCTGTGGCACTCATATCCCACTGAGGATTCATGGTGGACATCCATCACTGCAGGATGGAGTCGTCACTCGAGATGTCTGCGGTCACTGGGACAATTACTGCTGCTATTTTGGGTCTTACCCCATTAAATTAAAAGCCTGCCCAGGCAATTATTATGTCTATGAGTTGGTTAGACCAACTAAATGTGATTCAGCATATTGTGCAGGTAATTATATTTACATGAGCCCTTTTTATTGTTTATTGGTTTGATTGTGTTTTGACTGAATGTTTGTGGATCTTTAGAATTGAACAGGTGTGTGAGTGTGTTTGTATCTCTAGAGAAAGAAATAAAAAAAGTGTGTGAAGTGTGCAGGTGCAAATGATTGTAGACATTTTTGTGTGTCCTTTATATTATTTGTGTTATTGCTGATTCATTAATATTAATCAGTCATTATTTTTTCAGCTGTTACTAACATCATCAGCACTGATACAACAGTCACACCAGAGACGAGCTCAGCTGGTAATGTAGTCTCATGTTTTCTCTGTTGAATTGTGTTTTGGCTGAATGTTTGTGCATCTGAAGAATTGAACAGGTGTGTGAGTGTGTTTGAGTCTCTAGATAAAGATGAGGGTGAAAAGAGTGTGTGAAATTTTGCAAGTGCAAAATTGTAGATGTTTTTGTGTGTCCTTTGTGTTATTTGGTAACACTTTATTTTAAGTGCCGATTCTCACTATTAACTAGTTGCTTATTAGCATGCATATTACTAGCATTTTGGCTCTTTATTAGTACTTATAAAGCACATATTAGGGCTGTCACGATATTAGATTTTTCACGCCACGGTTATTGTGTCCAAAATAATTCACGGTATCGATATATCGTGATATCTATAGAAACCTTATGGAATCAGCCAAATTAATTTTTACTTTATTTAGTTTTTCTTTTTACCCAATGAACATAAGGATACTGATAAACACAGGGCACATGCATTTTCACTTCTTCTTCTTCTTCTTCAGGTCACAGCTGACCTGAGACTCTGGCTTTCTCTGTCTTCTTTGAAGCTCCCTATGAAATAACAAGAGAAAATACTGTCAAGTTCAACAGTATAATGAATAAATATTAACATCAAAACTGATACTTTAACCTGTTAACTTGCATACCCATATTTTAATCTCTTTAACCTATAGTTGTGCAGGTGTACTGACATTTTATCCTACCCATCAGATTGTCCAACCAGGGTTTACTGCGCATGCGCACATCAATATTGCGTCTTTTTTCTCACGCTGAACAACAATATTTAATGTATCTGCATTATTGTAAGGGTAGGTTTAGGGTTGGGGTAGGTGTAGACATTATTAAACCATAATTTTACAGGTAGCATTTTTCATTGTCGAATTGTACTGCCCACTGTTTTAATGGGAGGTAGCAAAATCTGACAGGGTAGCACAAATCGACAGAACACCGGCGCCAATGAAGTCATGCAGTTAACGTGCTTCTAATTCAGTATTAATGTACGGTGACGCATTGATGCCACACACATATTTTTTTTCCCTACAATAACTGCACTCAGACCCATGACTCGTTTAGGCTATGATCAGATCAAAACTGGGCTTAATATTTCCTTATTGAATGACTGAAGTTTGATTTAACAACAAATCGAATTACGAAAAAAAAATAAATAAAGAGATTTTCTAATAGGCTAATAATAATAATAATTATTATTATTATTATTTCGTTCTGTTTGGCAAACGGGCAAACGAAAATCAAGCTAGATTTTTCGATTTTTTTGTTCGTGGGTTAAAAAATGAGCTTGCTATTTGTGCATGGGCGGCCCTAAAAACGCCACTTTTTCACTCCGCCTGTCTTTACTGCCTATCCCATCACACAGAGTAAGAGTTCATCTCATGTACCGCTCTGCAAATTAGTCACAATAACGTTTCTTCAAACTGTCTGGCTGTTGTATAGGCTATATTTCTTGCAAATATACATCTCATATGAAGCACAACACTGCT